GCTTGTATATAATGAACAGACCAATTTTTAAGGAGTGTTCCAGTAGAATAGGATATCTGTAGCTCATGGCTGAACTGTAGAATTCTTGGTGCTCTCTGAACTTGGTTGTTTGTTTGCAGACATTTCATTACCCAACTAGGTAACATCATCAGTGTGAGTGAGTGTGGGGTTTGCTGCCTGTTTATATGCAGTAGCTTGCCCTGCCAGCGTTGGTGGGGGTGTGGTTTCCTCCTTGGTGGTTCCTTGATTACTGTTTTCTGCCTGATTGTTTGTCTGGAGCTGATCCCTGCTTATCTGAATGTGGGCTGCTGGAGGGGATGTGTGGTAGCCTTTTTGTTTCCTTCCTAGTCCAAAAGTAGTCTGGCTGACAGAACAGAGGTCTGTGGAGTGTATTTTGGGGGGTGGGTGCGGGTGGAGTGTCTTCTGGTACACCAAGACAGCACCCTTCCCTTCATCACAGCTCCTTCCTCTGTGCCTGTGATCTATCAGCTGCCCTATTACTGGACATGGGGTTAGTGCTCCTTCAAAATAATGCTGAACCTGTTTAATTAAGGGCCACACGGGAAGGTGCATCTAATGCAGAAATTCCAACTTTCCTGTGGTCCAGGCCAAAATGGCTGTTGAGGAAATGCTCAGCAACTAAAGTGGAAGGGATCTGCCCCCAGTAGCCTAAAGTAACCAATAGCAGCTGGACAGATCAACCCATCATCATCCAAAGTATCCTAGATTATGTCAAGGGCAAAAATGTTGTTGGGTGAGGTAGGAAAACTAGTACTGTACTTTAAAACTCAAAAACAGCAAAATAATGGCTCTAATGTGCCTTTGCAGTGGGCTAGGGATGAAATGAAGACAACGTCATAAAGACACAATATTTAAACATGGTTCATGCTACATTTTCATGTCATGGTCAGAGAGGTGTGACAAAGAGCTTTAGGTGCTGTTGATTGTGCTGGCCAGGACAGAGCGTGGAATCGGCATCCTTCCCCCCGCCACCTCTGCAGGGGGAGGGAATTTACCATGCCTGCTCTTTGGCCAGCTTAGTTTTTAGCTCAGTTTGGGAGGGGTTTTTTAGGGAGACAAGGGTGGGCTGGATTCTTATAGAAGTTTGGCTGTCTCCAACATGTACCCCAACATATTTTATCCATGCTATTTGCAGAAGTCCTTCAGTGGGGCAGGCTCAGGGACAGAAAGTTCCATTATGAACCAGCTGGAGATGGAGGTCTACAGAATTCAGAGTCCCTCAGGAAGTCCTCACAGACAACATGGATGGCTCAATAAACTAAATTAAGAATCAGTGTTAGCTCTCTCTGAAGTTGTCAGTAGTTTTCTGGAATTCATTCTCCCTTTTTTCCTTGGGGTCTCCAAAGAAGGATGAAATTCATTTTTCGTAACTTTGAAGAGGCAGCTGCCTTCCTACTGATGAAATGGAATATTATTTAAAAGCAGATTGTGTTCTAAGCATTTCTGCTCCCACTCAGGCAAACTGCCTCAGTAACCACCCATTAAGAGTTCTGCACTCTGATTTTACAAGTGGGAATTGTAGCTGCATACAATGCAATATTATCTTGTGCCCCAGGAAGGAAAAGAATAAGTTTGAAATAAGCGTCAGGGGTAGCTTTTCAGAGAACATTTATTCACAAGGAGACCTTTCTTTTTCCCCCTCTTCTAACATAAGTTCTATTTATGGTAAGATGACATCTGCAGCATCATGTTCTTTGCAAGCTTGGATCCTCTGAAAAATTAATGGTATGTGCAAGTCCAACTTTGAACATTAAAATGGACTGTGAGAAAATACAGCTTCCTTGCTAAAGTTTGAAATATTTTCAGCAGCTGGTTGATGTATACTATGCTGAAAACATTCTGCTACTGGGATGCAGTAGAAGCTCTAATTAAAATAGCTCTCAGGACACACAAATCTTAGTCAGCTTTTATATCTGTTTTAATTGTGTATTGAGCCCTCATTTTCTGTAGTGATAATTTCTCATGTCATCTGAGGGCATTCAGTTCTGCAGTCTGGCTTTTACATAAAAATAATACTCCCATCCACAAGGATGAGAACAGAATGTATGTTCATGATAACATATTTAGAAACTGCTATCGGGCCAGATTCCTTCATGGAAATTCAAAATGGTGACAATTGTATTTTGGTAAATTAGAAGTGTTATATGTTGATAGCGTCTTACCGAATCAAAAAGCCTTGGATTTCAGCACCTGAATTATATGGTATAGTGGTTAGTGGATGTAACTGGATGTGGAGACCTGTGTTCAAACCTATTCTATCTTGAAGGTTGTTGGAAATCTTCGGTATCGCTAAATCTCATCATTGAGTTGTTGGTGAAGATAGGGGAATTATTTCACAGGAAACCTTTTTGTTTTCTTTTTAAACTGCCTACATGTTCACAACTGTCCCACTTATATCAGCATCACAGGTTGCTGGGTACACATGACTGAGCACCATAGGATATCTTGGCACCCCACCAACTGTATATAAATCCCAGGCCACTGATGTGAGGTTGTGTAATTCTTGCTCCTTGCCATGTACTGCTGATGGGAATAACAGTGGAGAAGGGGGCTTTGTACAAGAAGAGGATGTTATGCAAAACAAGCCTGACCTTTCAATACACACGAAACGGTGAACGCATTGCTAACAGTCCCCTGCTCAGGATTCCGATAGGTATTCTGCCTTGGGCCTCCTGGCACAAGTTCCTTTCACCCCTTGGTGAAGCCAGGTCAGAGCTCACCCCACACAGGTTAGCAAAGGGGAAGGAAATCATGCTACAAAATAGAAGGGCTGCAATTCTCTTCTTCCCCCCTTCTCCTTTTGCTATATGTGTGAATGCTAGAACTTACTTGAACTGTCTATTGCTCAAACACTCTCGCCCTGATTGGTGGGCCTTCGTAGTGTTTCCAGGGACACCAGGGGGGCGGGAGAATTGCCTGCCTTTTTTAATGCTATTTTTGGATTTTCTGTATATTGTTGTCCTCCTCTACCCTTGTGCTGTCCTGATGGTCTAAACAGCAGATTTTTCTTCCCCCCAATATTTTTATTGATTTATTCCATTACTATTTTGCCTCTCTGTCCAAGCAGGACAAGCAAGATGACTGATAAAGATTAAAACATATATCAAAAGCAATGCAATTAAAGCGTAACTGAAAATTCTACATCATGACATCACTTTAAAAAGTTGAGTTACATACTCCAAGCATGTAGAGCTAGGGAGTGTACGTGCCTGCTTTTTGCAAGCTGGTGAACTTCCCATAATCCCTAGCCAGCTTAGCCCCTGTGCTGGCTGAGCAATGGGAGGTGGATTTTGGCACATCAGATTGGAACAGGATGGTACATGCAGTCTATCCAGTCCCATGGGTGGAACTGCCATCTGCCACAGAAACACGACTGGCTTCTCTGGGTGCACCTTGGGTCAAAGCTTTGGGGCTTGCATCATGTAGTAAGAGCTGCTTCGACAGGATGACTGTGTGCTCTGCATGCATCACGCCCCAGAAGCAAGAAGGCCCCCAGCCCACTGCCGTATCTACCATGGGGGAGGGCAGGTATGATAGGAACACTGCCTGGAGGGAGTCGGAGATCGGGCTTCCGATTTTCGTGAGAGTTCCACAACCCTTCCCCGGTATAACTCCTCCTATAAGAGCGCCAGAAATAGGGGCGAGCGCGGACTGTGTCGCTCTCAGGGCGCTGACTTTGGAAAAATCGCCTGGTTAGCTAACGTCGCCTGAAAGCGATGCCACTGCCGGACCCGTAGGTGAGCACGGAATTAGCAAAGGCACCTCTTAGGCTGCAAATGCCGCTGAGCGCGCAAGCTGACGTGTGGGGGCCACTGCCCAGACGACTCGGAGTCGCTCAGAGCGGGAAGTCCGTCGCGCTAGCGCATACGGGAATGAGAAGCGTGTGTGAGCAGGATCCCTGCTGCCCGGCCGCCCTGCGTGAATTGGGCAGCGTGCGCGCGCAGCCCCACTCGGCTTGAGTGAAGGGCGTGTGCGCGCGCGAGCTCGCCCGGGTCACACTTGACTGCACGTGCAGCGACGCCCCTTGTTCGCCCTGGCGCGCGCCAAACCGTGGCACCTGGACAAGCGCTGCCCGGCCGCCTCTTCTCGCTCTCCCCCCGCCCCGCTCCTTTCCTGCTGCTTACTGCAGTGTTGGGGGGAGGGCAGATCTGGACCAAGATGGCGTTGCTGTTGCAGTTTCTCCCAGGGTCAGCACTGGAACAGCTCCTTCCTTTGCTTTCCCATTAACGCCGGCAGCTGCTCTGAAGTTCTGCAGTCGCTCAGAAGCCGCCTTCCCGCCCGGGCGTTATTGCTGCCTCTAGCCATTTCCTCTCACCGCTCTAGCCTCTTTCTAGAGGCTCCTGTTTTGGTGCAAAGCTTCCCTCTCTGTGGCAGCCGGACTTGGGGAGGAGGGGGGGAGCTGAGCGCTTGGCCATATTTTGGGCTTTTGCAGGCGCTCACTGGGCTGTAGGCATTCTTTGGATGTCGGCAGCAGTCCGACCCGGCACGGTTTTTATTTTGCTGTTGGCATCGTCTTTTGTTTTTATTTTGAATTGCAGCCCCGAATACCAGGGTGATTGCATTTTTTCCTAAAAAACTATTATTGTTGTTGTTGTTGTTATTAAAGTGACTGCCTCTAATGCTACCCCTTGCAAGAGTGGCAATTTCTAGCCGAGCCCACTTCATCCCGTGGATACCTGAAGGAGACGCATCGGGATAATAACATGGAGGAAGAGGAGGAGCTGCAGTCTTGAATTCCCTGGCTGTGCTGTCAAGAAGAGAGGAGATGGTGATTTTTAATGTGACACCCGTGCAACTTCTGGAGTTGTGAGAGCTTTTATCTCCCCTGCATCCCACCGCCTCACCTGCCTGGTGCCTACCACCTTTGCTATTTATTTTTTATCTACTTTTCTTTCACTTATCTTCCGTACTTCCCACAACCCCCTCCCCACTTTTCTGCTTTTGCCATGGGAATGGTGGTAAATCTCTTGGCTATTGTCATGTCGGCTTCATTTTTCAACCCCAGCTTTGCCTTCAGTTCACACTTCGACCCTGGTAAGTTGATTTACTTCTGGAGCTTTGGGGTAAAAAATTCCCCCAGATGCTCAGATGACTTCTTAGTTTTGCACTTTACAAAATGACTGTGTTCCTCTCCCCTTCCTATTTCCTCTCGGGATTTGGTTTTCCTCTCCTTGCTTTCCATCTCTGCTACCAAAAAGGAGTTGAATTTTGTAGCATGTTGTTCCTTCCCCTTGCAGGTTGCCTGCCCCCCCCCCCAGTCCTTGCGGCACTTCTTTGCATTGCTTTAACCCTTTGCTGAAGCTGTTCCAGCTTATATAATAGTTGATGGCAGGCTGGCAGATAAAGGGAACCAACAACAAACCCCTCACACACCGCTTTTGTCTTGGGCAGTGATTTTAGAAGGGCTCCAGGAGAACAGATTCTTCCTGCAAAGTTACATCACCAATAATCAGCTATTCCATCCTTCCCTTCTCACCAGCCTTTTGGCAACTGAGAGTATGTAGAAAGAGTTCTTGGGTATTTCAGCATGAGATAGATGGACATGGAGACCTAATTGTTCCTGATGGATGTGGAATATCCTTGCATGTAACCAGATGTTGACAATACCAGCTGCTTAAAACATGGCATGTTTTGTGTGACAGGCTGTGAATTTTTGTTTCTTCCGCCTGGAAAGTTGCTTTGAATTGCAAAGAGGTAGAATTGTATACAGGTTTGCGATCAGAGATGTGGATCTGCATTCTTGAGAGGGTTGCTTTGAATAAAGTCAAGAAAAATAAGGACAGGGTAGTTATTCACCTGGGACTGGGCCTTCTCTGTGGTGGCTGTCAGAATGAATTAATGTCCCCTTGGTAGAATAATTGATTTGTCTCCATTCAACCATAAACCTTTTGGCTGGATAATTGGTAGCCCTTGATTTGTGGAAGAACAGCATGTTGTCTCTGTAAAGGCCAAATTGTTGCAGTCCCAGAGGGACTTACATCTTCTGATGATGGGTTCCTCTGCTTTTTCCTAGCCAGATATCCTCAAAAGTAGAAACCTATGATTGGTTCAATATTCCAGTTTCTTCTTGGAATGGTTTTATATCCGTCCTCTTAATTCTTTTTGCTTATATTAGTTGAAATGAACTTAAGGTTCTGTAGTTTTCATTTCTCTCCCTCCTCCCCCCAAACCCTGGCTCTTCATCTCTGTTCACTGATTCGTGATTCCATGAACCTTATCTGTATAAGCTGTTCAATTGACTAAGTGTCAGGTATGAATAAAACACAAATTTGGCTTTTAACACCTTCAAATATCACTTTTATACCTTCCACTGGAATTGTCAAGTGAAAACAAACTGCCTTGTTCTGCCCTGGAAAAAGATTTTGGCACAGTTTTCTAGATTCCATTGCAGTTGTGTCTGGCAGGCCTGGAGTGAGGTTTTGGGCTCTGCTATGGATTGAAATATTTCCTTAAAGTCATCAATTGGGTAATAAAAAAATGTGTGTATGTGCAGGAGTGGGCGTGGGTGGAGGAATAATAAACAAATAGAACATTATGTTTATTAAATATACTTATTTCCTCTGGCCACTTTTGAGCTGTACTTTGCTTGGAATTATCGTTAGTGAGGATCTGTGACAAGGCTATTGGATAAAACATAGAGTTAGCATGTGAGAATTTGCAAGTCCATCATGAAGGGAATAGAAAAACTCTGTGTTACATAGATAACTGTTTTTCAGGTTTTTTGTTAAATATATAGAACAAGAGTAAAAATGGAACTCTTTCCTTAGTTACGTATATTACAATGGTCATGCATGTTCCAGTATTACATTCCACCAATCTAGCCACCAAAGGAAGTTGATAAACAGAGCGGGAAATGGTTATGTTTTTGCTTTCGTCTCTCATGAATTCTAAACATAGAGGGTCAACTGGAGTTTCAAAATGCCTTTGGCTAGGGCCCTTTGCTAAAAGCAATATAAATATTCAATCTTTTATGACGGCAAAGGAAGGCACGTTAAGGAGAAACATTATGATATTATTTTCTTTTTCTATATTGCAAAATTTCATACGCAAGAAGAAGAAAAATATATTGACATGGTTTATAAAAAGCATCCAGAAAACTTTTGCTGACTGTGTGTAACCATTAAAAGACAAACATTGTAGGGATGGTGGAAAAAAGAAGGAAAAAGGCCATATAGAAAAGGTAAGAACAGACTCTTTGGCTATGTTTTTTCCCCTTGATATGATCTCTGCTTGCTTCTTAAATAAAATTCTGGGTGCTTTTTTAAAAAAAAAAGGATTGGAAAATGGAACGTTTTCTGTATTAGGAAGTGAGAGAAAGAGACTTGTTTTCATTTTTTAACATGTGAATTGAGGAAAAAAAAAAAGGAAACAGTTGCTTGCTTATATGTAATCCTTCAAAGAAACAGAAGTCAAGAAGTTACTTTGGAACTTTATCCCTAACTTGCAAAACTCATTCTATATCAAAGCTTGGTAGATATTAGCAACTAGAGAGGATGAATGGCCAGGCTGAGTTTGTATAGGAACTTCTGCAGATTAACTTTATTTAGGCCACACACCAAGATGCAGGTTACCTGCATAATCTGTAACATGTTCTGGACTACTTGTTAGATCAGTTATGCATTAATTTACAGCTCTAGGAAGTGCCTCACATTGTAGACAAAATAAATTTACTCCATAAGCAGTATTGCCTTGGATTTTTCCATGTTTTATCATTATTGGGGGGATATATGTGGGAAAGTTCTTGGATGGTAGTTCTTGACTATTCTCCTCAGTTAAATATCACATGAGGAAATGTGGTGAATAACATTCTCCAAACCTGACCCATTGCCATTTTTGGATTAGGCAAGATGTCTTCACTGCTAAAAAAACATCTTGAGCTAGTGATTCCTGTTTTTGTTTTTCTTTGAGCATGATTTGAGTCTCTTGCCCGAGTCATCTGGAGATATTTTTCAGTGAGTAGCTATTCTGTGATTATAGCACACAACATGCCCTTGATTATGACTTATGAACAGAAGAGAGAATTGCTTGATATGTGGATGGTCCCGCTTCATGGAAATATGGTTGGACTAGGTAGCTTTTTAGATTCACAGCACTCTCAAGAAAAGTCTGTACAGGTATAGTGCAGCATATAGTAATAATGCTAATCTATTACTGATCTCATCACTGGGATCACTGCTGAAGGTTTATGGGGAACCCTAGCCCTTTAAAAAGTTGCAATAAGGTTGCACAATACCACATTCAAAGGAATGGAAACAGTTTCGTTCTGTTATAAAGGACCTGAAAAGAACTGGTTAGCAAAGAGTATGTAGATCTTTTCTAGATGCATATGGCAAGGCATGGACTATTTCATTGGTGCATTAAAACTTCTGGTTGATATTGGGAAATACACTGGGCTCTGCATATTAATTTAATGCAATGCAATTGTGTTTATGTTCTCACAAATCTTCCAGTTAAGGTTGGTATCAAGGCTAAATGGGGCATTTGATGAGATTTGGGATCCAGAAAGGAACCATAATTAAATTCTGGAATTTCTTGATCTGCTACTTCTCCTTCTCCATTTTCTTTCTACTGGTTCATCTACTAAATAGCAGATTTGTAAGAAATAAGCAAATATTTAACAATAAGCCTGCTTTCCTCCTTGAAGGACCTTTGTAAATTGGGTGCCACAGAAAGACAGTAGATGAATGAAAGTGGGGAGGAAGTGGGACTGCTTAGAGAATTTGTGTGTGGGACCACGAGGGATATTTTATCTAAGGATCTCCAAAACCCTAGAACCTAATTATGACTTCATTCCTTGCAGACACACATGTGAATACTGTTAATATATTTATGAACAGGACAATAACTTCCTAAAGGATTTCATGTCCCTCAGTTGAGACAAGGGATGGAGGACATGTGTGTGATAAATCAGAGATGATAGATAGGAAATATGTGTCTTGGTTGTCCTGAAATTGATCCTGTATGCTTTTTCAGAGACATGGTGCTCTTGGAAGGCTGCTGGATTGTAAGGAGCTATGATAATCCACTTCTCATTAGTGATACAACATGGAGAACAAAGAGGGGAAACTTTATGGCAACAGTGTAAAATAATTGCAGCTGACTGAATAGTCTACCAGCGTGCACATATAGTGTGCTTATTCCAATGAAGTACATAGGTATGCCCAATAGAATTCATGCTTATCATTAGGAATACTGATTCCAGATATGTATAGTGGGAGAGAGTATGCCAGCTCAACAATAACAGGAGAAGATGCAAGAAAAACAGAAGGGTAGGGGGAGACAGGTGGTCTAGTCAACATCAGGCTGTTTAGGTTAATGAAATATGGAGCTGCCTATGGAGTATAGTCCACAATTACTGACTTTGGAGGTTCTTTTGCTTGTTTTTGGTATGTTCAAATGATGACTTGTCCTGGTAGAAAACATAGATTGTGGCCTTGATGTCATAGGATCTCCTCTGTGATGGTGTACCTTTTCATTTGGGGACCACAAAACCTTCCATGTATGTGCATGTTTATGTGTTAACCCCATATGGAACATTCATTTCCACATTTGTTAGGTCTCATATTTTAATAGCTTGGCTTATCTGGATGGGGTTTCAGTTTAGTCTAGGCTCTTTAGTCCCTTTCAGGCACATAGTATAGGAATGAACTGCTGGGCACCATTTATATATTGATAGCACTTCCCCATGATCTCTGTGAATGTTGCAGGTTCATGTAGAAAACTGAACTGTCTAAACAGGTGAAAAATCTGAACCATGTTAAGTCTTTACAGACAGCACTTATGGGGCAGAACAGTAGTGATGTAACATCATCCAGTAGTGATCTAACACTAATAATAATATCTAAGACACTGGTGAAAAAGGAATTAAGGGTGTAAACTTAGGGGATGGGAAGATGCTCAAAACCTGCAGATTAAGTCTGAAGGCCAATTCTGCTCTCTATCCTAAATTGGCTATATCAAGCAGCATTGTCAGGCCTACCAGGTGAGGGGCAGTTGATTGTTTTCTTTCTTTAGTTATGATGGCAGCTGCTGCA